GCCTCCAACCTAAGAGCAATGGCCTCCAACCTAGATGCGATGGCCTCCAACCTGATAGGGACCAGGAGACCGTAGTGGTTGCCCTAGTTGAATATTGAGCTTATTCAGCTGTGCTTGACATGCTTGGCACACATTTGTCCTTTCCCCCAGCTAGTTCATGTGCAGGTTAGGTTCTTCGTTTTTGTGCTTTCTTATTCTGCAAATGCGTTCCACGCCTCCTTGAAAGATCGCATCCACCAGTTAAATTCTTCAGTGTGCCTGTTTGCTAGCTTGCCGCAGCGTACGCAGTTTTCTCTTGGCCGGACCTGAGGAGAGCATGAAGAGACATGTGCGGATTTGCATCAACAGCGCTTTGGCAGAGTTATTTGGCTCTCTGTCCTTTTTGAGTCGGCCGAAGCCTTTAGCCGACTCTAGCTTTGTGCATTGAATGCGAAAGCTTAGGATGGAAAGAGAAAGGCAAGCAGCACAGTCGGTTTTAGAAGAACGGGACCGAGCACATGCGGAAGATGCTCTTCTGAATGTAAATGCTGAAACTTTCGTACGTTGTTGGAATGCCTGCACCGGCAGACCTGAAAGCATTCAGCGCTCCATTGTTGTTTACTTCCAAGGAGACATCAAGACGAGTTGCTGGGTTGCAAGAGTTTTCAGCCAATTTGTGGCTTTGATTTTTGTGTGTTGCTAAAAGCATGAACATTTCAAGAAAAACACATTTCATTGGTTTGTATTGCATGTATCTCATGTCCATTTCCATTTTTAGGACCTGGAATTCGCAGATGCTTTGGCTGTTGGGAACTCGGAGATTAGAGAAGCAAGCAATCGTGCAAGAGAACCATAAATAAGAATAGTCATAGTGCCCCTACCTAGAAGTAATGGCCTCCAACCTACTAGCAACGGCCACCATTTGGTAGACAGATTAGTTTCTATCAGTGAGACTGACTTCTGACGCTCATCGACTTTGTGCCGATTTCTTTCGCTTTAGGCGCTCCGCCGTGACATGGATGCTTGGCGTCACATGTTCGACTTGTCGTCTTTTTTCTTCTCTTCCTCACATCTCCGTTTTGCGTCCTTGCTCCTAGTAGCGATGCCAGGAGCCCCTAAAAGCGTCCTTGCTCTTAGTAGTAAGGCCAGGAGCCCCTAGTAGCGTCCCTTGCTCCTTCGGGTAATTTTGACACACTTTGATCATGCATCTCGGAACATGTCAACTGATTCTTGCTGTTCTGAGTTCTGACTCATTGCCACATGCACCAAGGACGAAGAGCGTGCTGCCATGGCAGCTGCCATGCATCGTCTTGAGCAGGAGCATGCCCAAGAGGTGCCTAGGGATGTGCAGGGAGCATACCTTTTGGTCCAAAAGCCTGTTCAGCTTGGTATGGTAGAACTGTTTGCCTTTTCCAAGGGAAAGCCTTGTTGGTAGAGCATTCCCCACTGGTATAACACTGGTATGCCTGGCACCATGCGTATCAGCTCTGCGGACAGACACCCGTGGCGGATCAAATTGTGGTATTGGTCAATTCGCAGTTCGTGCACCATGAGAGGTGTTTTCTGTATGAATCACATGAGAGGTGCTTTTACCACTAGGAACAAGAACGCTACTAGTGGCTCCTGGCCCTACTACTAGGAGCAAGAAGCTACTAGGAGCAATTAGCAGCAAGACTACGGACAGTCCTGGAACAGCAACTCTACTGTGAATTTAATCAAGTCGCTTCGCCGCCTTAGGTGATTTTTATGGGTCTATACTGCTACTTACTGCTCCAGTTTAGCCTTAATAGGGAAACATAGGTTTGAATTGTATGTGCTACAGTATATCTATAGGAAATCTATAGAATATACAGAGTATCACCAGATTTGACAAGTTTGAAGGGTGAAATGACTTCCTTGACAAGGTTGAAACTCTTAAGGAGCTCCACAAGGCAAGGAAGGGAAGCATCACAGAGTTGCATTGCTCGATATGTTTGATTTGCATTCTCAAGCAGTGCATTAGGATGACAAACACTAGAGAACAGACAAGCTTATTTGTGAGGATGAGCTTTGCGCAACTGTGGAAGCAAAGGACTCCATCACAGTTGCGGGACAAGAGATGTCTTCACTCGAGAAGCGATAACACCGGCAAAGTGAACAAGTAGAAGAACTACTAGTAGCAAGAAGCTACTAGGAACAAGGTGCATCCTATTACCAACAAGTGCATCGCTACTAGTAGCAAGAAGCTACAACTTCTACCTGTTTCAAGTCCCTTTGAGTGTGTGGCAGTGTGTGTGGCACTCGTGCAGGATGCCTTTCTCCGAACTTCTTTAGACTCGCAGAGAAGAGAGTTGGAGGCAGTGCGAGAGGCACAGGTCTCCGAGGTGAGGGCTGAGCTGGAGCAGGACAAAGTGGGACAAAGTGTAAATGCGCATGGCAGAGTGTTTGAGAAAAGCAGTTTGTTCCCAAGCAAGTCGTTGCAGCTGTGTTAGGCTTCAGTCATATGAGCAAAATCCTAGCAGACTCGCTTGACGTGAGAGGAGAGAAGCTCATCAGCCAGAACTCTCCAAGAGAAGGACCTGTTGAAAGCCATTGTTGTTTGCAGATTGCATGTGATTTTTGACTACCTGCTGTGAAATAAAGAATATCACCAGTTTGCTGCAGGAACTTTGGTATACAGTGCAGATCCGTGCGATTGGCTCTGCGAAAGACAAGCTTTACGATGATATGGTTGTTGAGAAAGATGAGAAGTATACGGCCGCCCGGTGAGTATACGGCCACCAACAGTTCACTGTGAAGGCATACAGTTCCTGAGGTGGACATGGCCGCAAAGGATTCAACGCATGCCGCAGAGTTGCCTCGAGCTGAGTCTAAGACTTTGAATTGGCTAATGTTGGGTACCTTGGCCGTTGTTCATGAGTCAGTGCAGCGAATCTGGAGGCAGCAGTTGGCGACAGAAAAGGACAGTCTCTGCAAGTGTAAGCAATTCTGTAGAAAGGCTGAGACTTTGGTAGGACACGACCTGGGCCTTGGCTATGTCCAAGTGTATCGAGGAAAAGGCAGGGGACATGAAGCACTCTCACTCAATACTCATGCGACTTCTAGGAACCTTCAGTTTCCCTAAAGATCGAACCAAATCATTAGCGCCTTCGCTATCCTGCGTCCAGTTCGTAGTTTTAAGCGGCCTACCCCCTCCGCGGGCTAAACAAGAAAAAAAGGCTATTAGAATTACAACTAAACTAATTTAAATTAATAGCTTATTGTTACTACTAGTAAGGCACCTGTTACTACTAGCGATGCACTTGTCACTCAGGATATGGAGAGACGAGAGATTGTGGCCGCTCTGACAAACCACTTTCAAGAGGACAGCCGCACTGAGTCACTTCTTTCATGGCACTGCCGACAATGCAACTTGCTGCAGGAGAAGGAGTCAAGGTTCAGATTCTGGAGAGGAGGCAACAGCAAAAAGGCCTGTGTGTTTGTGACTTCATGTTTGTTTGGTTCCCATGTGGTGATAGGACGTAATCTAGAATTTATGGTTTGATGGTCTATGCTCCCTTTTCATCAAACGATCGTGGTTCTTTTTGCATGTTCATCTTCGATACGACAAGACTGTTTCTCTAGTCACTTTCCGAGTCGACGTGCAGGTTCCAGCTGCTTGGCGCAAGAAAGTCATCCAATAGTCACAAGAAAGTCGTGCTGGTGCTGTTCATGTTGCTCCTAGTAGCGTTCTTGTTCCTAGTAGTACGGCCAGGAGCCCCTAGTAGCGATGCCCTTTGCTCCTAGTAGCGTTCGCTTCAATTTCCTTGCCCTTGAGGTGGATGATGAAGCATTGATTGTGCAGGGCTTGTTACGCAAGACCAGAAACATACCTTGCTCAGCAAGTTACAGCAACACATCTTTTGGATTATCACCCCTTGAGGTGGCGACAAAAAGCCTACGCAAGCCACTCCATTCATAGCCACGAAGGCTGCCAGCTTGCAACAGCAGCAAAATGGGGAAGGGAACCTAATGGAACAACAAACAAACACAACCAAAGGATTGACAATCTGATTGATAAGATGTATATCGATTTATAACATCTAGCTTCAAACAGCCTTTGCAGTTCTAGTTGTTGCAGCTAGCTTTAATCAATATGATCAAGTGAGGTATGGAAGTGGCCCGGAGATCTGACGCTCTGCCAAAGGCAAGTCCGACCAATTCGCTGCATTGGATTTCGTCTTTCTGTCACAGGATCTTTCGAAGAAACATCCTGTCAGAGAATCCTGTCGGAGGGCTCTGTCAATTTGCATGACATCCATCACTAGAAAAACTGGAACGTCCTTTTATTTGATTTTGAGATCCCTCGAGATGAATTTGGGCAGAATGCCACTTGCAAAGCACTCAACAAGTTGCGCTTTCCGCGAAATCAGCTGGTGCCTCTTCCTGCATTTTCCTATTTGGAAAGCAAGTCAGATGCAAGGACGCTACTAGGGGCTCCTGGCCTTACTACTAGGAGCAAGGACGCTACTAGGGGCTCCTGGCATCGCTACTAGGAGCAAGGACGCAAGCTCAGAAAAGCCTTGCGCATGCTGGCTGTTCACCCCTGACAATCTGTGAAAACTCGCAGACGGATGTCATCCAGAGACTCACTGACGAGAAGGCAAGCTGGAACAAATCCAAACACGTGCCATGGACTCCAACCTAAGAGCGCTCCAACCTACTAGCGATGGCCTTCAACCTACTAGCGATGGCCTCCAACCAAAGACCCAGTCAGTTTTTCCTTTTGTCCGCCCAGGCTGTCATAGAAGAGCAGCTCAGACAGGAGAAGCTTCAAAGAGAAGAGCTCTGTCGTCAGCTCCAGGCAATCTATTTGGCATCGTTTTGCTCCATTGTGCTTCGCTAGTAGGTTGGAGGCCATCGCTAGTAGGTTTGAGGTGATCGCTAGTATGTTGGAGGCCATCGCTAGTATATTTTTTTCTAGCCTCTAGTGAGTTCAAGCAACTGGGTTAAGCATCCTTCAGTGGATTCAGGCTTTGGAAGAAAAGCAGAAGGCTGCAGAACGAGCACTGGAGGCAGCCACTGCGTCAGACTCCTTCCATTCTACTCAGCTTGTGTTTGATTTGTCCCTAATCACATTCATTTGTTTTAGCCACCGAACCTGCCTTGTCTTTGCTTGAGAATCCCAGCAATGTCTACAGGTTTCTCTAGCAGACTCTAGCACTGCGTGTGTGCAACCACAACCCTTGGTTACAATCGGCATGATTCATTAGTTTTCATGTTGTCCATCCCTTAAAAAGGCTTTCCAACTGTTTCGTGTCTATGGTCTATCTACGTGGACGTGATTCAGTCGCAAGTGTAGAGTGATTGAAGAGGAGAAGAAGGAGATTGAAGAAAGGCTGAGGCAAAGCTTCATGTTGAGCTGTAAACTCTCCATAAGGACTTTCAATGTGGAATAGGCTTGAAAAGGAAAGGGATCTTGAAGATCACCATGTGGTCGGAATCTCACAGGGGTCAGCCCAGGGGCTAAGAATTTCTGAGACTGTACCGACATCACTGCTCCACAAAGTACTGCTCCGCACATATCGCACAGACTGGGGGTTGCAGCGGATACGCAACCCAAGTAAAGTCCGAGACAATTTATGTGAACACAGTTCCAGATCAAACAGGATTTTCTAAAGTCAGAGGAGCCAGGTTCAAGTTCAAGCTCAAAGCCGATCAGAACCCAAAGAAGAAACAACGACCTAACGAAGAGCAGAACCAGTGCTACGGCCGGATCGCCGGTATCACGCACTGAGAGACTGAGGTTGGGTTGTATGGGAAGAGAAGCAATATCAGGATGTAAAAGGGGAGAGCCTCACTGGTCCACAGCTTTTGTTCTGACACCTAGCGATGGCCTCCAACCTACTAGCGATGGCCTCCAACCTACTACCGATGACCTCCAACCTACTAGCGATGGCCTCCAACCTAATAGCGATGTCCTTCAACCTACTAGAGATGGCCTCCAACCTACTAGCAATGGCCTCCAACCTTCTAGCGATGGCCTCCAACCTAGATGCGATGGCCTCCAACTTACTAGCGATGGCCTCCAACCTACCTCCAACCTACTAGCGCTCCAACCTACTAGCGGAAATTGGTAAGATCTAAGCTGTTTGAGGGAGAGTATCCAACAAGCAAGACAGATCTTATCTCGTGCACACAGATTTGTTTTGAAACTTCCCTTCTCCAGAGATTGGAATTGGTCAAAGATGTCAAACTGTGACGTTGCCGACGAGAGAGCCTTAGACGAGAAACAATGGACCGAGGCTGAGAAGGAGCAACTCCGCCAGGACCGATATATTTCCATCCTGACAGAGTCTGAATGAGTCCACATGATACAGAGATGTAGACATAGACCAGATAGGAGAGTCCTTCTGGTTTTGAGTGAGTTTGGACCCCTTTCGCATTGGAAAGGTGGCCGTGAGAAAGGCTGGTTTCTTTTGCACCAGTCGGGGGAGATGGGTAGGTTGTCTTTCTTCAGGAGAAGGAGACCGCAGTGAAGACTGAGGCTGTTCTCAGCAAACGTTTGGCTGAGCTTGCTCAGCAGGCACGGCGTCTGATATTTAGCTTGAGAGTGCCCTCATTTCATGATATGTCGGCCACTTGCTCGACGTGAGCATTCTGCACTTGAAACTGCTCTTCATAGTAGTCATCTTTTCCCCGCGCGCATATTGTGTGTTTAACTCTTATATCGGGGAAGGAGCAGCAGCATCGTGAAGAGGCAAGAAAGGACCGGCATAAACGGGGCAAGCAGTTGTTGGGATGCTTGTGTCCTCATGGCTGCAATGTGGATGTGCCTAGAAAGCGAGAGTTCAGGCAAAGACGTCTTAGGGAGTAGTATGACTATACAGTGATGGGAATGCCAGAGTCACACCTTTCGGTGGAAGTAAGAACCACATGTGACATGTGCGGATGGCAACTCATGGAAGTTTTCGATAAAATAAGAAAAAGAGAGGAAGAGAAGAAGGTGTTTGGGCCCCTGTATTAAGACGCCAAACAACTCTCAACCAGTTTTTCAAGAGTCAGTGCTAAGCATTCGTTTGTCCTTTTCAGTGCTGAGGAGTTAGAACTGCGGTGTTGCCTTGAAGAAGAATGGAAGCAGCAAAAGGACACTTTTTTTGCAAGTTAACTAGGTGCTGGCATTCCCTCTTCCGTCCGGAACGCTGCACTATCGTATGACTCGAATGAACTTCACCCACCTGCCCAATGGAGCTGAGAGACAGTAGCACTCGAAGTCAGAGATGAATGTCCAAGAACAGAGAGAGGAAAGAAGGAACGCAAGGCACCCCCTTTAAAAAGGACCCTTGATTTTCTTTTTTTATATAGGGCTCCTTATTGAAGGGGGTGCCTTCCCTTTTTAAATCTCTGTATTATTCTTTTCATTTCCAGCTTGGGATCTCTCTCATCTCAGGTCGTTTCAGAAACGACTATGCATGTTTGCCCAAAACAGCTCTGAACAGGGCCCAGCACGATCATGACTTTCATTTGCTTCCTCATGCCTTTCGGAAATCACAACATAAGGTTTGGGGGGACTCAGGAATTAACTTAAGCTTCCGTAAAAATCCAGGAACCAAATGATTAGTGCGAGCGCTTCTTCAAGGAAGCTTCCCCCGGCGCCCTAACCTTGAAGAAGTGTGAGCTATCCTGCGTCCTAAGTAGCTATTTAAGCTACTAGCTACCTTTTCTACTAGGTACGTCTTCTACTAGCTACCTACCTAGCTACTGGCTAAGCTGCCTCAACTAGCGGCCTACCCCCTATTTAAAAAAACGCTGCTTTCACCGTAACAAGCGTGTTCGCTTTCGTAACTTTGGTCCCTCGAGCTGCCAGGACCGAGAAGCTGAGCTCCAAGCGCAGCTGGATGCACTGAAAGGAGGGGGCGTTGGCCACGTCTCATGGTCCCTAGTAGCTTCTTGCTCCTAGTAGCGATGCCAGGAGCCCCTAGTAGCGTCCTTGCTCCTAGTAGCATCTTGTTGCTGAAAAAGTTGTTTGACTCGGCCTGGCTTGTACAGTTTCATGTCAGAGGATATCAAGAGAGCATTGTGCTGAGCTTAGACTTGAACAGGATGTGTGTTCTAGCTAGTTGTGAAACATCTCAAGGTCTGAAAAGGAGCAAGCAAGAATAAGCTTAATAAACAATATTAAAAAATAATCCTATCCTTCGCTATCCTTCGCCTTGGGGATAAAGCAACTGGCAGAGCTTGTTGTGAGGCCCTGGATGAGTCGCAACTGGCTGCAAAGCGTCAGGAGCAGCAACGTCAGAGAGAGGCGGGCGGAGCTCGCAAGGCGAAGCACTGGCGAAGCGCACAAAAGACATGATATGATTTTCCACATGTCAGAACGATGTTCTTTTCGTTTGGAGCAGATTTGGAGCCATCTGTGTATTGTTCACCTTGATCTCCAACTTGAGTCTGGCTGGAGGCAGAACTTGCGAAGCTGGGGATGCATTTTGTCGGGATGGATCTTGACGATGTGCCAAAGGCAGGGGTGTTTTGTCCATCAGTAGGCTGCCAGGCTGTGTGGCTTACGCCATGACAGATGCCAGGCACCAAAGCTTGTCAATTTGCACCCTGACCCTGCTCTAAAGGCAAGTGTGAGACTAGTTTGAAGTTGTGTAGCATAGTATTTGCATGATTCAGGGTTTGTGTATGCAATGAACGTGGACTTTCAAATGATGAGGGCTGCCTGGTGTACTACCTGCCAATGGGTGAGACTCGGATCGGCGCTGACCCAGTGCGCTGTCGTGTGGCGCTTTCCGGCCTCAACGTGGCTTCAGAGGCGAAGCTTAAAGCTTGAAGATCTTAAAGCGAAAAAAGAAAGCTTCCGAAGATTCGAGCTGTGTGGGAACTCCAAAACTGGAACAATCTTTTGCTGCAACTTTGGCTAGGTTTGTGCAGTGGAAAATGCAGACAATGCAGGGGGCCTAGAGTCAAACGCAAAGCAATGCCTATGTATCTGGACCAAGATACCCGCAAACATCGCAAAAGAGATTCTTGTAGCTCACAAGGGTTGGTCGGTTGGTCAATCAACGACAGGTGGCACTTTCCGTCAGATCGCTGGGCGCAGGGTTGGTGCGAGTGCCTGAGCTGCAATTATTGGTCTTAGCCCGGTCCAAGACTTTAAAGGCTTTAAGAATGGGACTTTAAAGGAACCTAATAGCGATGGCCTCCAACCTACAAGTGATGGCCTCCAACACATGTTTAATCATGATTTGCTGTTTTGCACTGGAGTAGTGTGCGGTGCTGAGGTTAATGGATGCATGGTTCCAGAGGCAATCGAATCTTAAAATTTGAGTGGACAGAAAAGACACATGAAAACCTCCCAGGCTGGCAGGTCGCTGCAAGATGGTGACAGGCCATGTTCATGGTGCCTGCACCGGACCATGTCATCTGCAGAAATTGCAGCAAATCTTGAGGCTTGCCATTGGCCGTGCCTACATTTTCCGAGTACAGGCCTGGTGGCCTGGTTCATTTTGTGCTTCTTCAACTCCGCTTGACCAAGGTTCCAGAAGCTGGAGCAGCAAAAGTGGAAGTCCTTTCCCAAACTTTTCTGGACGACTCTGGTCTGGTTGTAGTCTTTCTTTCCAAGGCTCCTTCGGATGACTTTGAGCACGCGGTGGAGGCATTTCAGGGCAGCTTTGCAAGGGGATTTCAATACTCTCGTGCTTGAGGAGATTTCAGCATGTGCCCAAATCAATCCTGAATGGGAGAATGGCGTTCAAAAGGCAGGAAGAATGTCGCTGTCTGTTGAAACACGTGGTGCTGAGGGCACGTGCCACGGACCGTTGTCTCAGGCCTTGCTATTGGTGAAGAGCGATTTTGGGGATGAAGCTGCCAGCAAGCTGCTTGAGCAGGCCGGTGTCGAAGTTCTACAACCTTTCCTAAAACGTTCGATGTTATTTTTTCTAAAAAGAACCAAATCAAGGAAGCTTTACTGACATTTCTTCTTCAAGGAAGCATTTTCTGCGTCGGTGCCTACAGGCGTTACTTGTTCCCTTATTAGCCTCACGTCAGGGCCTACCCCCATGGACAATATTTGTAATAATAATGAAGAAAGACATTATAAAGAACAAACAGTATAGTTAATTATAAGAATTGTATAAATAAATAAGAAAGGAACACTAGTTCTCTTCCAGAAGAATGAAGAGTCGTCTGAGCGTTCTTGTTTACCAAGGAAAGCATTCTGGTCATGCATGTTTCCCCCGGCATATTGCTTGTAGAGCCAAAGAACGGGGTCTACTCGCAGAATGGGAAGTGAGTTCTTTGAGCAAGAATCACTTCTACTCAGATTCAGCCTCCTTGCCCAAAGTTTTTTGACTTGTGGATAAACAAAGACAGACAACCAGTTTCAACAACATCCTCGCCACAGGAATCCCAAGAGTTGGTCAGAAGCAAACCAGGGCAACCTTGAACCGTCCAGACATCCAATGGAAACTTCTCAAGTCGAAGGTATTGTTATGACTTCTCACGTCGAAGGCGTTTTCGTTAAGGAGGACGCAGAGGGAACCCATAGTTAAATAGCCAGTGTAAGTGCGGCAATCGGTTCATTTGATTCTGTGAGACAACCAGGCCAAGAAAGCCTCTGAAGCTTGCGACCGTACCTCAGACGGTCAGACATCGCTAGCGAAGCCGTCACCGTCTCCTTTCATCTTCGATCTCGAGGGAATGGCGAACGACGTACTCCAAAAGATGCCTCCAAAGATCACCGATGGCGTCCGGAGGTGGGCAAGTAGGATCTTAGATAAAGAGTAAGGACAGGATAGGACAGGTAGTTTTTTCACTAACACTCCTTGGAATCATTAGGACGTATCAATCATTTTAATCCTTTTGGATGCAGTCTTCAGATTTGAAGAATTAACATCTTAGTCAGCAAGTTGTATCATAGTTTTCCGGAAAATGTCAGGTTTGAACTGTCAATCCTCTTCAACTCTCAGGGCCTTCCAGAGGCGGCATAGGGGATGAAATCGCGTCACTATATCGAGAGCAATTCGGAAATCAGGACCCTTGCGCAAGGATCATGTTGATTGGATTCTGATCTTTCTTCACATAGCTGCAGTCATCAGTGCAGCTGTTTGTATTTCAAGGGAGGGGCCCACGTCAGTTTTCAGGGTTGCGTGCGAGTTGGGCACTAGCAGAAACTGAGATAGCCAGCTTGTCGATCCAGGTGATCACCCGGAAAATCGATCAATCGCTACAGGTCTGCGTTGTGGCAAGGCGATCCGAGAGTGATAGTGAAGGCCTGGGTGAGTTGCGTACATGAAGAGAGAAACGATGTGATCTCCCTGCTTGATGGACAAGTCCCAGGCAACTCATCTGTGGCTGGTATTTGGGAGGCAGCGTCAGTAGTAGCACAAGCAATTGCGGAGTCCAGCTTGTTCTGAGGTGGAGCACTTTTGGAAGGACATTTCCTTTTATTTTGAACACTTACAACTTTGTGGCAATGTCGCCACGTCTTTATTTCGTGAGAGGACCGGCTTCGCTATTTGATCGAGTCCTTCAGCGCCTACCAACGTGGAGGTAAGCTGCGTCGTACAGTGGTGGACTAGGATTTTGCAATACAGCTCGAAAGAGCAAAATATATCCACTTGTTAGGGTCCCCAGAACTCTCTTTTGGAGACGTTTTGAGGTTGATTCATCATCTTCACTTAGGACTTGTGTTTTGACTTTTAGCCTCACCGGTGCAGGCGTGGACGATGACGGAGAGCTCCAGGACACTTGAGTGACCATCGAGATCGAGTGGCAGATGTTTGGTTGTAGATCTGAGGAGCTTTCTGAGCACTCTGGAGTTCCACCCTCAGAGACGCAATTGGAGGCCGTTGCTAGGTTGGAGGCAGCAATTTAGAATAAGGTGTTTGGGTCTCCTTAATCAGGCCCCTTTTAAAGGTTGCATTGTTCAAGGGGGTCCAACCACCTTCTTGTACCCTTCTCTTTTTTCCCATCATCTAGAATCTTACCACTCAAGCTACAAACTCACGAGTCTCGAATGAAATGAGGGAAGAGAAGATTCTGAGGTCTGGAGTGACATCAGCATCACCGATTTCAGGAGTGGATGGGATCAGTGAGCATTGAATGTAGGCATGGCCTCCAAGCGATGGCCTCCAACCTACTCCTTGCTCCTAGTCGTGATGCCATTTATTTCTAGTAGCTTCTTGTGACTCGTCGTAGCGATGCCAGGAGCTACTAGTAGCGATGCCCTTGCTCCTAATAGCGATGGCCTCCAACCTCCAATGTCCTTTTTTGCCGTCGCTGTCAAGGGCTCTTTTGAATGAGCGAGAAGAGCTGCTTCGAAAACAGAAGTCCCTGCAAGAGGCGTCAAGCGGGACTGAGCGTGTATTACCTGTGGCTAAGCATGGGAAGTCCTAAATAGCATGAACACGAACACCCTGGTGAAGCAAAAGAGACAAATTGACCAGAGGATAAGAAGATACAAGAATACAAGACAACAAAAAGACAACAAAAGACAATAAGTGGAGGAAAAGATGAGGTGCTTGGGTCCTTTGAAAGGGAGCCTTATGAAAGGGTTCCAAACACCTTTGTATTTTTAAATCCATATATTGTTCCTCAAACAGTGTGGTCACACTAGGGGTTCTTACGGTAGTAGTAAAGGGCCGGTGTCTGATCGAGGTGTTGCACATCCGTGTCTGGCTAATTCGCTGCTATTTACAGTACATTCATGCCTCTCGAAATCCTCGAAGTGCATTTCGACTGCACATGCTCGCAAAATCTGGTTGGCCGCGGCGGGTGCTTATCGCGACTCTCCCGTTGTGGTGCCGTGCGCATTTTCGGACATGGTGGTCACAGTTCGTGGCAGGCGCCAGGGAAACCTCGTGCTTTGGTGGTCCAAAGTCGGCTTTTCGTGACAGGTGCAAGGGATCGGAGCGGCTTTACTTCGAAGTGCCGCCCTTGCGGCAAACCGCCTTGGCAGGGCTGCGCTTTGTGAACCTGGAAGTGCAGATTTCGTAGCAGGGGCTGCAGCCTGTGCTTTCTGAGGCGACGCTCGCTCTCACTCTCACTCTCACCCTCTCGTGCTCACACTCACGCTCACACTCACGCTTACACGCACTCACTCACGCCCACTCTCACTCACTCACCTCCCTCACTCACTCCCTCCCTCGCTCGCTCGCTCGCCATCGCCATCACCATCACCATCGCCATCACCATCACCATCGCCATCGCCATCACCATCACCACGATCTCCACCTTCATCACCACCATCATCTCTCTGGATTCCAATACTTGTACGTGTAGATCTTTGTTTCTGATTTTGCTACACCTCTACACCTCACACACACAGTTTGGGGTCTCTTGCGGGAATAGTCCATCCATATTATATATATATATATTTTTTTAAATATCACACACACATATATATATATACACACACATTTTTTTAAAGGTTGTGTTGTTGCAAGTGGCAAGGCATTTCAGAAAATATTGGACCGTTCTCAGGATTCCCCGTCAAACGTTCAGAATTGATTTCTGCCACTAGCAAGAATGGGATATTCAGGTCAAGAACGGGTAATCAAGGCCAAGACAAGAATGTTTTTAGAGAAAGTCCTTTTAAGACTTTTAGTGCTTAAGGTCTTCTCAACAATTAGTAGCAAGGACGCTACTAGTTGGAGGCCAGCGCTATTGGTTGGAAACCATCGCTACTAGGAGCAAGGAAGCTAGTAGTCGATGCTCCATCCTTGAACAGCATTCTCTGTTAGGCCCTGGACGCGGCGCAAGCACGGTGCGCCTTCTCAGAATAGTGTAGTTTCTAAAGCGGAGTCCAGAACGTACTCCAAGATGCGGTCTTGGCAGAACCTCTTATTTGGGTTTGTTCATCCCGCAGGCCCAAGGGTTTCAATTTTTCATGGCCTTCAGGGCGACCTTCATTCTCATTACATGTCTTGACACACACACACATACATACTTAAGGCCAGCCCGCAACCGCAACTCTTCATTTCTTTCAGTCTGGACCTTGTGCGGCAGTGGCTCGTGTGAAGTTATTGTTGGCTTGCAACAATCTGCTGCAAATGAATGGACACGACTTGACCCAGTCCTTTGCATTGCTACGATCGCGGCTGAAAGGAGGACAGAGCTGTCATTGCTAATCGTTGCACAATTGTTTTTGCTTTCTTGCACCACGCTGAACAACAATGTGCACAGCGTCGTTTCTTCAATAAACACCTAAAGAACCATTTGCCCTTTCTGATTTCGACTAGTAGGCTTACCGTTTTACGTTCCAACGTTCAAACTCCCAGTTACAACGCCAAATCTAAACGTTCAGACTGGAGCAAAACGATGCTTTCAATGCTTTTCAATTCGTTTCCACAAAGTTGCGCAGGTGCCTCTCCGAAGCTTCCGATTGAGATGCCCATGCATCAGGAATGCCAACCGAAGATTGAAGAACATCAAAAGAACCGTTTTGTGCACAAAGGTCTCCCTCTAGGTTGGAGGCCATCGCTTCTAGGTTGGAGGCCATTCCTATTCTTCGATTTGGACTTGAGGATGACTTCCAGCCACCTCCACGCGAAGCCAGCATGTTTCAGGGCCGGCAAGCTTGCAGAACCTACATTGAATCATTGAACCTTATGGTATCCTTCAGATGTTTTTTTTCCACGTAAGCCTTAGAGGCACAACTCTATGTCCTGATATGACAGTGTGCAAACAAACTGGCAAGATCTTTTTGTTTGATGGTTTTTGCTTTGAGAAGAACCTTTGTTCGTCTTGAAAGATCGAGCCAGCATCTAGCATCTGCAGGTGACCATAGTGATGGGTTTTCAAGTGGTGAGTGGTCGGGCAGTAGCCAGAAGGGCCAAAGAAGCTCTAAGCTGACAAGTGTAAAAATTGCAATTGCATGTGGAAGGCTGTAGGGGCTGCATTGTACATGTTGCATTGCTTGGAGAGAATCGAATCATTTCGCTGAACAGCTTTAAGGCTTTAAGCAGCTTCCAGCAGATAGATTTTCTATTGAACTATATATTTATAAGGTCATTAGGTGAACAAAATAGTCTATATCGTTGGGTCTTTGATCCATTTCGGTTTAGCATCCTAATCCTTTCTTGAGTACTTTTCCAAATCCAATTCTCGAACTTATCCCAGAGAAGCTTCCATGCGGCAACCATGCAGCATTTTGCTCCTTGTGTCGTCTTGTCCAGGCGGTGTTCTGTTTTGCTTTGATGTGTACAGGTTCCGAAGAACTCCGCATCTGTGTCGCCTCACAGGCTGTGCAGTGGCGTTGCGATGTGAACTGCAGCAGCCCTGGGCAAAACAAACGATGTTTTCAGCGCAAGCAGTGCGAGAGAAACGGCTGGAGCCCCTAGTAGCATCCTTGCTCCCAGAGCGATGCCCTTTGTTACTAGTCGCGAGAATGCTCCTAGTAGCAATGCCAGGAGCCCCTAGTAGCGTCCTTGCTCCTGAGGCCTGAGCTCAATGTCTCGGAGAGAAACCACAATGTCTTCAAGGAGACACAGACGAAGAGCGAGACTCGAATCAACGAAAGGAGAGAAACAGAGAGACTATGAGAGACTTCTTTTGAGTCTCTGAGACTTCCTTTTTTGTTTTCTTTGAAGTATCAGACAGGAGATGCAGTCGACATATTGTTGACATCACCAGCGACCACAACATGGGTTTCATTTGAATACAGTCAGCGAAACTAAGTGGGGGAAGCAAGCGTAAGTACGTGTAAGTACACCTGAAGTAACACTGCTTTGTCAGGAGCAATACTTGGGAAAAGCAGCGGTCGTCCTACGAGGTGAAGAGGGGTGTCCTGCCAACAGTGTCACATTTCTTTACCTCTTCGAATGTTCTTTGTTCCTAGTAGCTTCTTGCTCCTAGTACTGTAGTACGACCAGGAGCCCCTAGTAGCGTCCTTGCTCCTAGTAGTATGGCCAGGAGCCCCTAGCAGCGTCTTTGCTCCTAGTAGCGATGCCCTTTGTTCCTAGTAGCGTCCTTGTTCCCTTCTATCTGCATCTTCCTCTCGTCCTTCAAGAATGTCGAAGTTGTCGACTTTACTGCCCGACGACTTTGACGACCACTTACGATCGACGAGACAGAAACTCCTCGATAAAAAGGGTTGGAGTTGACTACTCCCGTTTTCCTCCATGCAGCAAGAACTTTCTGGTCCCAGGCTGGGCTAGGGGCTGGCGAGGAGTGAAGCGCATTTTCGCCCGTCCCTTGGAATCTTTCCGAGCTCAAAACCATCGCTTCTAGGTTGAGGCCATCGCTAGTAGGTTGGCGGCCAAGTGTTGCGTTTTGAACAAGGCACGGCAACAGCTTTTTGCCCATCATGGCCCGAACCTTTGACATCCTTTGACTCCCTTTGTGATTCTTGCCTTAACCATCTGACTTCAGAGTATGTTTAGGAACCAAGAGCGTTCGGCCGAGTGACATGCACCGAGGTGCCTTTAGAGCTTCTCTTGCAAAAAACTGAAACAGGATCGCGCTTGCCTCTTCATGTGATGTGCAGGTTGTGCTCTTGCTCTCGGTGCACGAAGAAAGAGGAGCGGGAAAGAAGAATGCATTGACCACATATGCAATCACAGAAGTCGAACATGGTGAACTAAGGAGGGTGACGAGATCAGAAAACATGCTTTCCTTTGCCTTCTACTAGTAGCAAGGACGCTATTAGTCAAGTGAGGTGCGAAGTGCTGCGTTTGAACATGTTGTGACCCTCACCAGACCGAGCAGGACATCGGTCCTACATGCAGCCACAGCTGCTGGTGGTGGTTGCTGCTACTTGCAGTGACTTGACTGTAGCGACTTTCTAAGGAGGCCCTAGTAGCGATGCCCTTTGCTCCTAGTAGCGACTTTCTGTAAGGCCACACCACTCGGTCTCATCAGCTTGCCGCGCATATTTGCGACTCCCAAGTGTGCTGGAATCTGTTACGCTGCATGGGCCGAGTGTCAGCATTGGCGGACAAGGCTCCACAGCAGTCTTTCACAGGCGGGGGAGACGGGGAGACGGGAGGCACCAGTAGGAAGCTTAGTGTAACTTCGGAACGCAGAAGACTTCTCACTAAGAAAAGGTTGCTTTGCTCCTTACTAGATTTACTAGCAAGGGTGAGAGAGGACAGGAAGAAGAAAGAGTCTAAAGTCTAAAGGTCCAAAGAAAAGACGAAGAACAAAGATAGAACACCTACAAGGAACACAATTGCTATTGCTTACTCATTAGGCTTGAGTACTCATTACATGAAGGACAAGTTCTCCTTAGGTCGTTGCTGCGTTCATCACTTTCACAACTTTTATGTTCATCACGTCATTTTGGGAAACAAACGCAGCCGAAGTGATGCGCCATCCCAGGCACGAAGAAGCATGGATGGCCCAGATCTATGGGAAGAAGTTGCATCTATGAGAAGCACCAGCAAGACTTTGCATTTTGTTCTCACGACGGAAAAGTGAAAAACAAAAGGACACAGTTCTCATCTACGGGCTTGCCTGATTGCTTCGAACGGTACTTGTTCTCAAAGCCGTCGCAAATGAGATGAGGTGGCTAATTGGAGGGGCTGATGGAGCTCTTCCAGATCGAGATGAGCCTTGCAACTTCCGAAAGAGAGCGAGTGAAGCAGGGAGCAGAACAAGTAGGAATGAGAAAGAAAGACAAACAGAGGTGCCAAGAAAGACCAAGGGAGATGCTAAATTCGGTGCCAAAGGTGCTTCATTTCGATGTATCACCGGCCCATCAGACATTTTGTATTTGCCTGATGGATGGTCTCATGCTACATGTGGTCTCAGCAACTTCAATGTGGGGATTGGCTTCATAGGCTCCGTGGCTTTCCTTCCTGCAATGCACCGAGCTGCGGTGCGTGGGAACTTGGAGATGGCCAAGAGAGCCCTGAAAGACGATAAAAGTGGAGGACTTGCAATGACTCTGCAACCTGCGGGTGGCGGCATGTTGAACGAAGCTGGTTTGATACCTTTCCACTGGGCAGCCTGGAATGGTCATTTGGCGCTTTCAAAACTGCTGTTGCAAGAAGAACTCCGCATGCGTTTGGCCATTGCCGCTGCGACCAGACCAAGCTGGAGCGGCGAAGATGAATTCAACCAACACTGGGAGCATTCACAGGAACATCAGGACGTGCATAATTCCAGAAGATTGTTCCTAGTAGCTTATTGTTTCTAATAGCTTCTTGTTACTACTAGTAAGGCACTTGTTACTACTAGCGTGGCACTTGTTCCTAGTAGCGAACATTGTTTCCATGGGAGTTGCGTCACGTTCGTGTGTGCGGTCCTTTTCTTGAGCCAAACGTTGTGGCGGTTTTTTCGCCAAGTTTGTTGTGGGTCTCACGTGGTCCATGTGCTTTTGCAGACTCACGCTCCCCCTTGCGACTAGTTCGCAACCTGAACTCGGTCCTTGACCAAGAAAAAGCTAAATCCGCACCACTTGCCGTGCAGATTTGGCAAACCATCCTTGTGCCATTCGGCATCTACATAGATCAGCCGCTCAGAAAACTTCATGGTGTTCTGGTTGAGCAGCCAAGCCACCGTCACCCTGAGATACTCGAGGTCTCTCATGTCCTCAGGTGTGGATCGATGCTCTGGGTGAAATCGCTGCACCCTCAAACTGTGCCTTCGGACCATCCACGTTTCCAGCGGCAAGCGAAGATAGTCCCAAGCGTTTGTCCTTGGAACTGGTCGAAACTTCGTGGCTTCTTCATCCACCAGTCGCTGCACCTTGTCAAAGAGCTCCTGGTTCCACCAAAGCGATGGCTGAATCACCAAAGTGTCTCCCTCTTCACCCACAGGAGGAACCAGCCGAGGCACCGGAGGCCAATGCGGCCGATCCCATGGTGAAGGATAAGCTCGGTGTGGGTTATCTTGAGACCCGTCTGATGGATGCGGAAGAGGTCCAGGCTTTGGTGCCACCACCCAAGGAGGATACTCTTCTGGCCACGCCGATCCCACTCGAGCAGGTCGTTTGGACACCTCCTGACCGGAGCACGAAGACGAACCTTTGGATGTAGTTCCCATCGCCGCTGCCCCCCGCGCCGCCGCCTTGCCCCCAGCGTCGTTCATTGGCCCTGGTGGCGGGCTTTTCCGTGGATAGTACCCGGTCCTCAAGCCCTCAATGGTTTCATTGACATGTTGCACATACTTCGGCAGCACAGGTGGAGATTTCGGCAATGGACCCGGCACCCCTTGCACATACTTCGGCAGCACCGGCGGAGACTTCACGGGCGGGCTGTCTTCCCGAACCGCCTTCGATCCCCTTTGCTGACCAGTCGTTGTCGACGAGGACGACGAGGCAGCCGCCCCCATGTAGCCGGACTCCTCAACCTCGCTAGCCCGGCCAAAACGCAGCTGCAGCTTTCCCCAAATGCCATGGCGAGCGCTCGCGGCTTCGAGTTCGACGATGTTGGGAGCCTCTAGGCTACTGTTAGGGTCTTCCCATCGTTGAGACATCAAGGTCTCAGACCCTGGCGTGCGGCCCGACGCCTCTTCATTTCTGGCCTCTTGTCCTTTTCTTATACTTTCTTCTTTTTCTTTTTCTTTTTCTTCTTGTTGTGACCTTTCTTGGTCTTTTGGTTCCCTTGCAAGTCCCGCTCGCAGGGTACACAACTTGGGTCGGGTCGCCACTAGGGATTCTCCCCCGGAACTGCTATGGTTGTACTGACCCTGGAAAACACGTGGTTTTGAATCCCCAGCGTTGACCCCCTTCCTACCAAAAATCCTAATCGCTTCAGCCGCTAAAGCCACGCTCAGAGAAGCCACCACCGCCACCTTGACGATTTGACTCGGCCACCCCGGGAAGGCTGCGCAGCTGGCTAGGCATAGAGCGACCTTAGCCAATCGCACTCCACCATCATTCTCGCCCTCCGGAACCTCAGCCTCCTGGTCGATGTCATTCTCCCCCAGGTCCACCATGCGAATGAACTTCCGGAAGCGTTGCCATGCCGTTTTTACTGCAATGGCCTTGGTGAGGAAGTCAGCAATCAACTTCGTCCCCTCCAAGTGGTAGATTTGCCAGGTTCCCAGCCGTGATCTTTCCCTCAAGGCGTGTGAACGCAATCGCAAATGTCGAGTTCGCCACGGACCATCAGGTTGTCGGATGATGGCGATTGCTGCCTGGCTATCCCCATAGGTGACCACTGCCGGCGGCTCCTCCACCCCCAACACCTCAGTCATCAGGGCTTGCAAGCTATCGCCCATCACAGACGATTCGATGTAGCCCAACAACTCAGCTTCTGCCGTCGACAATGCCATACAGCTTTGCCTTGAGGATTCCCATTGAACCACTCCACCACCAACCATGGCTACAATGCCTTGAACACTTTTTTCTCCTTGTGGGGCGTAAGACACGTCGCAATAGATCTCCACCAGGTTCATGCTGCGTTCTCGAGCCAAGGCTTGGTCGGGTCCCCGATCTTGTTCTTTGCATTTTCCATAGGCCAGGAAGCACTTGTCAGTGGCGTTCAGGTACTCCAAGATGTAGTAACCCGTCTGCAAAGCCCAACGTGGCCTTTTCGTCACTGCCCTCCCCAATGCCCCAATAGCGAATGCCAGATCCGGTCGACTCCTCACCGCAACCCACAAAATCTCTCCAGCAATGGCCTGAGCCTGGCGAACCTCCTCGATCTTGACGTCCTCCTCTTCCTCCACAAGGCTGGCATGCTCCTTTGGCAACGGTGTAGACCTTTTGTTTGTGATCTTCCGGCGACGAAGGAGATCCTGCAGGTATGAGGGTTGTCCCACCAAAAGCTCCTCACCCTGATACTTCATCTCGAAGCCACAGAAACGCACCCATTCTTCTGAGTTCACCAACTCCGGCTTCGAAGTCTTCCACTCCTCTTGTATGCGAGCCACCAGCCCATCATGAACTGCTTTGTTGCCCATCACCATTAGGTCGTCTACATAGACCAGCATCAGACCAACCGGAGCCGCACACCCTTCCTGTAGGACCCGCCATAAGTTTCGTTCTTTTGTGGATTGAAGCTGGTATTTAATCCCCTCCACAACCCATCCAAACTTGTTGAACATGGCGTCCCGGTGTAGTGCCCAGAAGCTTGGTGACGTCTGGAACCCGTAGAGTGCTTTGTGGACTATCCACACTTCATTTTCCGGGCAGATGCCCAGTTGTGACATGATTTTGGGCGGAACCACCGCCACTGGAGCAGCGCCAGGAGCGGTAGGCCTTGGTGCCTGTAAAAAGGCACTTTTGACATCCAGCGCTGACATCATCCATCCTTCATGAGCAGCTCGACGCACTGCGCATCTGATCAAAGTGCCGTCAGCTCCGCTGGCGTAACTTCCTGCTGGACCAGGTGCAGGGTCTGCCGTTGGTGATGTCATGTTTCCGCATATGACAGCCCGCGCGCGATGCACGCCACTTCCTCCCTTGCGCACGCACACCATTTTGCCAGGTACTAATTCAGCATGAGGAGGAAGGCTTTCACGAGGTACAGGATGTACGGCCTGCGTGTCTTTCACGAGGACATCGTATTCATACTGAAAAGCTGGAATCCAATCTTGAGGATGTGCTCGAACTTCATGGAGAGGCACTGTGACTGTTTGCAGGACATCAGAATCTTGAACTTGGAGGCTGCACAAATGGATGCGAGTGTCCCTTTCCACTCTACCCAATTGGATCAAGTTGTCCTCCAGCTCATCCCGCCATTCCACAAACAACTCCACCTCTTGTCCTTGTTGAGCTCCTTGTGACGCATTGCGAGGAACCCCATCCACCAAGTTGGACAATTGTTCTTGTAGTCGCATGTGATGCCACTCCCACGTCTCTTTCACGAGCTCCATGGGCAACCACCTCCCGACACCCTCTTCTTCACCGTAGGGCCCTTCAGCGGGAACTCCCACTGTCATTGCCTTCATTCCCGAAGCTGATGCGGCTGTTGAGGACCTCGGGAACCTCTCTGGTGCATCCTCCCATAGTTTCGAGGTCGAACTTTTTGGCTCCTTCAATGAAGACGACGAAGAATACTCCCCCCCCGCTGAAGTCGGACCCGCAGCAGTGACCACCGCCATAGGTTCTCCCAAGCGCGGAGTATTCCCTAAAGGCTGTTTGCCAGTCAATCTTCGGTGAGGTTGACCAGGACGATCCTCTTCTTCCAGCTGCAGCTGCACCATGTCCCCTTGCACCCCTTGTTGGATGCGGAGCTGTTCTCCTTCTTGGTTGGTTTGTACTGCTTCCCTTACATGAAGAACTCGACCATCTTGTAGTTGCACCACCCAACCGCCATTGACCAGGTGACTGGGACACAAAATCCGTGCTTCCACAAACGGTGCCACAAGTCCTCCACCTTTATGCCACTTTTTGACCTTGACCAACACCTTCCCTCGATAGGGCAACATAGGAAGGCAAGGCGCCCCTAATTCCTCCAGCTGTCTCCGACGACGCTCTGCCGCCACGTAGCGAATCGCATCCGGCCATGAAGTTGCTTCGCAGCCATGTTCCGCCAACTTGAGGCGCACCCTTCTTTTGATTTGGTGTACTTCTGCTTCGGCATGTCCGTTTGAAGCCGGATCATCTCCCGCCGTCGTGGTCGGAACAATTCCATTCTTCGCACACCAAGCTGCCATCGATCGAGAGATCAGTTCCTTGGCTCGGTCTGAATGTAGACGATTGACATAGATCCCCATGGCCTTGAAGTGTGCCAATGCTTTCTGCATCGCCACTACCACTTCTTCCTTCTCCCGGGACACTATAGGTTCCACATGCACCACATGTTTCACTGGGACCTTTTTCAATGATTCTTGTAGTTCTTGATGGAAACGTTCTTCTTCTGGGGATTCCTCCTTCATGATGTCCAACTCCCCCGGTTCTGCATCATCCTCCTCCACAAGCGGTTGCCCCGGGTCTTCCTGAGGTTGGTCTTCATGTTCTTCTTCTTCCTGTCCCCCATTGGTTTCCTCTTTCCCTCCACCCAAATCCGGAACCAAAGCCACTGCTATCAAGGCATACTTCATGTAATAGCTGGTGGTCAAATCTTTAGCCCGTGGTAGAGGTCCAACAATGTCCACTGACATAGACCATGAAGAAGTCATAGTTTCTCCTTCTTTTCTTCTTCTATGAGGTCGTTGAGCACCCATCTGCTCCACACATAGGCGACAATCCCGGCGAAACGGTCGATGTCCTTGCCGAAAGTGTTGCGCCCACTGTTCTTTCTCCCTGGCTGTCAAGGCCTTGGCGATTTTGGGTCCTTCCCCCATCAACTGCTCCAAATACAGCTTCAGCGAGGCCCAAACCGCTGCTCTCAATCCTGAGGCCCACAATGCCCACGACCGTGACTGTTCCATGCGTTCCGCCAGGTTTTCTGCAAGAGGTTCATCTTGGCCTGGTGGACTTCTCAACTCATGGAGCTCGGTCATGTTGGGCAAGTTGGTCATGATTGTGGTAGGCTTTTTTCGAATGTGCCCCATAGTTTTCTGATCAAAGCTGACCATGTTCATCCCTTCTTCTTCCTCCAAAGCGAGAATCTCTTCCCAGCTCCAAAACGAAGGCATCACGCTTCCCAGTTTGTTTTTTCCAGGATCCTCCGGAGACTCCAGCAAAAAGCCTGTCTTCACCCTCCCGAGGTCATACTTTACGCGCGCCTCCTCCGCCATGTAGTAGATGCCCACTTGTTTGAGGATCAGGGCCGTGTCGTGGTCCGCCAATCGTTGTTCCCCAGCACTGAGGTTTGGCAGTCCAAATCTTCCAGCTCCTCGATCTCGTAGTGGCCGAGGTCCTGGACGCTTGAACCTCATTCTTGACACTGTCCTGCATGGTGGTCCACCAATCGCACTCTTGATGGCCCCCTTCCTCGCCAGATTGGCCAGGAAGTCCCATAGGCCAGGATTGTGAACATCCTGATCCTTGCCCTTGGTGATGTCCAGGGTGATCACCTCCCAGCCATCCTGTTCCAACCTTCGCCATTCCTCCGCCTTCTCCCCCGCATAGAGGTGTAGCAGAATCTTCTTCGACTGTTGCAGTCGCCTTCTTGTACCCCGATTCCAAGGTAGTGTGCCTGAAGTGGACTCCTGACCCTCCGCCATGTAGCGAAACACTCGGGAAGGCACCTGAGGGAAACGTCTTTTCCACCACCCCATGATGTCCTCATCCAGGTTCTCCTCATCATTCAGGTCTTCTACCTTCTTTCGTTCCGCCTCCTCGATGTCCGCGATGAGGGCCAATGCATCCGCCTCAGCAACCACCGGGCAGCCATCTCGCAACCACGAGGAGATTTTTCCCCTTTTGGGATGTACCACAACGCAGCCACTGCGACTCCACTGTAGCTTGTAGCCCAGGTCAATCAAGCCCCGAACTGGAACAATAGGCTCAATGCCCCCTTCAACCAGAATGGTACCAGTCACCGGATCTTGTTTGAGCGACACACGACCATGCGCCAAGTCCACCGGCACCAATTCAGCCTTTTCCAACTCATCGGGAAGTCCTGTCCGGAGAGGATGTGTTGCCCCACCATCCAGTAGTCCCACCTTTAAATCAGGGTCACCTTCACCACATAGCGAAGCCCCAACTGACTTGCATTTCACGGCCATGAGTTTTGCCCGATGCAGTGACTTCAACAGCGCCGTCGCCTCACCCACCAAGCCTCCCACCGTGTTCACCACTTCATCTTGTGGAGCACCTCCCCCAGGCGTAGACCTCGACCCAGTAGGCGCTTCCTCAACCGTTGCCGTCGTCCCTGGTGAAGTTGAAGCATTGGCCTCCTCCTCCAAGACTCCAGCGCGCTCCGGCTTTTCCGGGCTGTTTGTGTTGCTTCCCCCTTTGACCTTCGCCACCTTGACCGCCTCTTCTCCCTTCCCCTCCTTCTTCAAGAATGGGCAGGCTGTGCGGCTGTGGTTCAAGCCAGAGCAATGAAAGCACCTGTTGTCCTTGGGACTCAATCGATGGTGCTTGAACTTGCACCGATCGCCACGCCGACACCCTTTTTCGGTCATCCAAAACCTACAGGTGTCTTTGTCACCGGCGACATTCTCACGTTGTTCCCCCACCGAAGGACTCGTCCAGGACATGGATGAAGTTCCGGAAGTAGGATTGGTAGCCACTGCTTTCAATGACGGACCCTTTCCCTGTCCCACTCCAGTTCCTGATCCCATCGCTAGCTCTTCCGCCTCCGCTTGTAGGAACTCCGCAAAGATCTTGAGGTTGTCCAACGTAAGCCTGGTGTCGATCAGCAACTGCTGTCTGCTCGTCGCCAGTCGATAGGCCACCTGAGCTCCAGACTTCGCCAAATGGTCTGAAGCCTTCACCAACACCCCTGCCAGGACCACTGGATCCGGAAGAAGCACCCCCAACTCCTCCGAGCGATTCCACCAACGCCGCCAGGTTCGAAGGACCTGCGCCACGTCGCCCACGTTTTGGGTCAGTTTGAGCTCGGTCAAGTTCTTAATGAGGTTCATCCGTTCACCTTGTCCTCCAGTTTGAAATTTTATGTAGAGGATGAACAATACCTGAGCAACTGTCATTTTGCGAGCCGTGATGACCTCCGATTTCACAGTGTCAGGCACCGCTTGTAGCAACAGGCTGAGCATCCTTCTTTCGGTCCGAGGCCATTTGTTCGCCTCTTCTGATTGCGCAGGACCAAGACGCAAGCGTTGCAGAGGATCTGCCACCAGCCACGCTTCATAGGCCTGCTCCACATTCTTTAGGGTCAACTGCCACCACTGATTTGCCCCTTGGCTGATCTCCGACACGATGGGCTCCAGGGTAGTCAACCAGTCACCAAACGTCAGCGCCGTGGCATCCAAGCCCAGCACTGGCAATTCCACCGACCGAGCGTTGTCGCCCAGTGATTCCTCAGCTGGCATCCACATGCCATTTGCGCTTGATGGATTTCCATTGGGAAAAATGCCACACACACCATTTCCCCATGGAGGTAGTCCGGGTAGTCCAGGAGGATAAGGCCATGGATATGCTACTGACCCCACGCCTACGCCATTGGGACCCACATTGACTATGGGTGCAGTGGTCTTCACATCTCCAGCAGCTTCTCCACCTGGTTGAAGTCGATCACCTTGGACTTTGCCTCCAGGAGCTTCCACTGCCGATTGGAACGACGAGTTCGAGCTCTGTTGCCCCAATTTGCGAACTTCTTCTTGGAATTTCGCTTCGGCCTCCTTCAGACATCGCTCACGAAGACGTTCGACTTGATCGCCGCCATCACGAGGTTGTTGACCTTGTCCTCGAGGATCACTTGGACGAGCTTGATCATGAAGTTCCCTCAACTTCTCTGCGGACCAGGGATTCAATGGTGAGCTCTTCACAGAACCTTTCGTCTCTTCGAGAACTCGTTCACGACCACCACCGAGTTCCTGGGGAACAACTCCCCCAGGCCCCTTCACCGAGGAACCTCCTTCCGGTAGTTCTTCTCGACGCCCTTGAGGTGCCACCGGCAATTGGTCTGCAGAGCTTCCAGTCCCCCACATACCAGGGTAGGGTTGTTCCAAACCTGCGAGCATCCCCCACCCCTGTTCTTGCACCGGTTGAAGCAAAGAAGGCATGCCCCCACCACCATCGTGCCCTCCAACTTGTCCAGGACCGGCTGGTGCAGGTAGAGCGGGTTGTAGTCCACCCACCATAGGCACCTGTGAGAAAGGTGGCAAAGGTGGAACCATCGGCATGAACACCTGCGGTGGGCCTCTAGGCCCCAGTTCACGAGGATCTTCTGGAGCAGGTAGTGCCCTTTGTTCTTCCACCTGTCTTCTCTCCGCCGGCGTGTTTGTCACCGCGGCATAGGATGTTCTCTTCAGGGATGGTGTCATCGTTCTGCTCGGTTCCAAGCTCTGTGCCCTTCGAGGCTGATCCCTCGCTGCTTCTATCATCGCATCCAACTGTTCATCTGCCGTTGGAGTCTTCGATCTCCGTCTTCTCATCGCTGCGGATGTCATGGCTTCACGGGTTCGTTGGGCTCATAACCCATGGGAGTTGCGTCACGTTCGTGTGTGCAGTCCTTTTCTTGAGCCAAACGTTGTGGCGTTTTTTTTGCCAAGTTTGTTGTGGGTCTCACGTGGTCCATGTGATTTTGCAGACTCACGGTTTCTAATGCATTCAGGACGTGCATAATTCCATAGCACACGCATTGAGATGGGCAGCTGCTCGTGGGCATCGCTCTGTGACGGCATTCTTGGCAAATCAAGTTGGTCCGGAGGCAAGGGACGAACAAGGCCCAGAAAACGAATGTGTGTTTTTGAGACTGAAAAAAAAAACTTTTTTTACTAGTAAAGGCACCTTGCACAAGGAGTTTTTGGTCTGAAATGATCAAAGTGAGAGCTTCGCAAGGTGCAACTCCTTTGCACTGGGCAGCTACAACTGGGCATGTTGAAGTATTGAAGCATTTGCTTCGGATGAAGGCGCTTGAGCCATTGGTCACTCTTGTACCTTGTAAGATTTGCTCGTTCAAGTGGCTAGGCTGACCCGAATGTTGCGGATCACTTCGGAGCACGACCTTTGCTCTTGACCCAGTCATTTCGGCCAGCTGTGCCTTCAAAAAGTCCTTGCCAATCCGAAAAGATCCAGCATTCTTTTCTTCTTTCCATTCGTTCCTTCGTATTCCTTCGTTGGATGCTCTCACAATTTCACCTGTCACACCCTTTCACCACTCGGAGGCATTTCCTGGCGGGTGAAGGTCATTTGGCAGCGGTGACTTTGCTGCCGCTTGGTGCAACACTTCTTCGTGCAACACTAGTAACAAGAAGCTATTAGAAACAAGTGCATCGCTACTAGTAACAAGTGCCTTACTAGTAGTAACAATGTTTGCTATTAGAAACACGAATTAGTCGATCATTTTCTTACTAGAAGGATCGATCTATAATCTAAGCAAATGTCTGACTTTGAAGGACAGTGCATCGAGCTGACATAAACGCGGTGGATGAGCAGGATCGAACCTTGCCGGTGTTCTCGAATCCTAGTAGCGATGCACCTTGTTACTAGTAGCTTGTTACTAGTAGCTTCTTGTTCCTAGTAGTACGGCCAGGAGCCCCTAGTAGCGTCCTTGCTCCTAGTAGCGATGCACTTGTTACTAGTAGCGATGCACCATGGCACCGACAATTGGAATATCATTGCAGTTCTGCGGTTCTGTGAAATTGGTCAAAGGGGAGCATCGTGGGGAGTTGGGTGCTAGGGTGTGACGCCGGCGCATGCTGCTGCCCAGTTTGGGCATCTTCAGTTGCTTGAGCTTCTGGCGCACAAAGGCCCTTGGCGCTCTTGCCAGAAGCATTTTAAGCTCTCAGAGACCTCTGACTCTGGTAGCGTCCTTGCTACTAGTAGCGATGCCCTTTGCTCCCAGTAGCTTCTTGCTCCTAGCAGTAAGGCCAGGAGCCCCTAGTAGCGTCCTTGCTCCCCAGTATCCCAGAACTTCCAGCTGAACATGCAGGTGCTAGACTCGATGCTTCATCATTTCGCTGACTGCCAAGGCGAACCCCCTTGTCTTGCTGCTTGTGACACTGTTGTTACAAATACGTCAGGTGTCGGGCTGGACATGTTGCTGTGTGCACATGGCTCCAGCGGACAAAAAAAAGTGAAAGTGATCTGGTGGTGGGACTGCTGCGAGACTCATGGGATTTGCTTGGAATCAGACCCTTCCGTGAAAAGGATCTTGAAGTATTTTTGGGCTCAGTCAAATTCAGGTTGCACAGCGCATCAACACATGTGGCAATATAGTTAAGTCAGGCACCAGCCACCGGAGTATGCGGAGGGAAGCACAAACATGAGGCAGCAGGAAGCAGTTTGGATAAAGACGCAAGATCTTCGGAGCGTAAGCAGATTGTTGCCCATGGCCTGACTTGCGATGGGCGACTTGACAGCATGCTCAAGGGTTCTTTTGCTTGAAAGCCTCTTTACCCATTTGACAAAGTGTTCACCTCAACAGCCTCTTGCTACTGACCAAGTATGACTCACAAGAACATCTCTTGCTTCCTTCTCGATACTTGCTATTGATGGCCTCCAACCTACTTGCTCGGCTTTGCTTTGCTTTCCTGGCCCCTCGTTTTCTTCGCTCGGTCTTGGACGTCGATCCAAGGTGCAGCTCCAGCTTCCGCTTCATGCTGCGCATCGGGCTTCAACGATGCAGCAGATATGGTGAAGGCTGCGTCTTCGAATGCTTTGCCGCGCTCCGTATTTAAAACAACAACATATCATATTTTTTAATACTATATATACAATTGTACACATATTACATATTTTCTCCGGTTTCTGTTTCCATTTTGCCCTCAGTCTTAGGTCTCAAGCCCCTCAAAACACTTTTTTTTTTTTAAATGTGTTTGAACCTTGGTCCTGGTGAAAGTCAGGAGCGTTAGGACGAGTCTCCAAGACTCTGCCAATGTAACGGAATGGGCCTTATCTGTGATGTCGCGAAAGCAAGTTTGGCGTGATGAACAAGGAATTGGGCATGAGGTACCTATAAGGAAGAATCGAGCAAGCAAAAAAGCAAAGCGAAAGGGCCTGGTATTGGTGCTGTACAGACCTGAGGTATATATATATATATAGAGTATGGAGAGGCTTGTTTAATGTCTGATTTTAGATTCCCGGAAAGTAACAAATGTAGGCCCGCGGGAAACTAATTGCTGGAGATCAAACCTCAGTCGATTACGTCGTTCCTTCTGGTTGCCAAGTGAGAAGGATCATCCAAGAAAGAGAGCTTACGGCAGCGGCGGGACAAATTCCTTTCTGAACATGGATTTCCCTCAAAATCTAGGAACCAAATGAATAGTAATAGAAGCTTGAGCTATCCTGCGTCCTACCTAGAAGCTAACTTAGTCTAGTAGCTAACTCTCCCTTAATTACTCAATTAAGTAGGCGCCTACTTAATTAAGTAGGAGTGGGCTAAAACCAAGGGTGTACAAGTACATAGGCGTACTTAGTTTGCTGCTTCTCCCCGGAGGGCACCATGTGCCATGTGCACATGCACAAACTAATTGCTAAAGTTTCTTTTTTTTTGCCAAACCGCAAACATGCAAAGTTGAAGGACAGCACCCTGCCGAGCTCTTTGCGAAATAGCAAGGACCGAATCGGGTTTGCCATAGCATGTTTGCCACACCACTGCTGCCAAGGACTCGCACACTTTTGAGAATGGTGCGACATACACAGGTGAATGGAAAGGAAGCTGCAGGCGGGAATCCTCAAGATTTGGAAGACTCTTGATGACTCTTGCATTCCTTCCAGATCTCATCCGAGGCATGGAAAAGGTATGCAAGTTTGGCCAGATGGTGCTAGATACGAGGGTGACTGGGCAGATGACAAGGACCCGATTGCCATTGTGAGCTCAGTGCTTTTGCGATAAGCATATCGATCACTGAGCTTCTTGTATTGGAAAGGCCTCTGGATACGGCAGATTCGAGCACGTGGATGGTGACATCTATGAAGGTGAATGGAAGAATGACAAGGTCACGGCATCAGTCGGGCCAAGAGATGAGCAAAAAGAAGGTCGACATGGGCCCCTGTTTTTTCTTAAGGGTTCTTTTCGTCTCTCTTTCGTTCATCTCTCAGACCCGAAGGGACTGGAATCTTCACGACCCACCGCTGGATGAGCGGCCAAGTACACTGCTAGTTCTGGACTTCGCTTGAGGCACATGGACATGGCGTGTACTACCATGCTGATGGCTCCAAGTACGATGGGGAGTGGGAAGAAGACAAACAACATGGACAAGGCAGGAGAAAACATAGTTCAAAACAACAGTCCATCAATTCTTGATGTTTGGATGAACAGCACATCACCATCCATCAGCTCCAGGTGTTGAAATATGGCCTGATGGAGCAAAATATTCTGGGGCGTATGCCAGAAACCTATTTTGCATTTGTTCGCTATTCAGCATGCAGCATGGCATTTCAAGCTTGCTTGCAGGTGCTTGGAAACAAGTCTGGAAGAGGCACATTCTCTTGGGCTGACGGCTCTAGCTACCAGGCCGGCCACTTTCACAAAATAGGCTTTTTGCCTTTGCCTTTGAACACGTGGCTTCGGAGAACTAGTGTTTAACTGTGTGCAGCGCTCCTGTGCGGCGTGCGCACGCCCAGGGCGAGTTTATTGGAAATGACATCCATGGTGCCAGAAGCACAGACACAGATAGACAGGGAGAATGAAACAAAGAGCAATGAAACACGGCGCATAGTGCATCATGGTCTATAATATCGGAGAAGAAGCAATCAAGGCTGGTGTATACCGTTGGAGCGATGGTCGAAAATTTGAGGGGCAATGGGCTCACAACAGGACCACTCTGGCACTAGTGCTAGATTTTGGCATCAGCACGTACTTTCTACAAAGCTGTTTGACGAAGCGTGCAACTTCGCTTCTGCCAGGATGCACGGAAAAGGACTTTTTACTTGGGTTGTGGGTTCCTCATAGCTGAAGCACTTGGACGTGCAAATTCTTGCGTATTGGCAAACATTCTGAGGATGGCCGCAGCTACGAGGGGGAATACGTCAATGACCAAAAGGATGGGGAGGCCTCGCTTTCTCAGCTGTGGATGTTTGAACAGGCAGACCTCAAACGCAAAGCCTATGCCTTGTGGATTGTGGTGCAGCAAAGCTGAGTTTCTTCCCCGGCTCAGTCAATGGCCACACCTTGACACTTGCTGTGACGTTAGACCAAACTCTGCATAGTTCATAGCCCTTTGTGAGCCACGACCTGATGTCACGGAACTTACAGTAGAATGCATGGCAACAGAATGCGCAGTTTGAGCTTTTGGCACAGGGCATTTTCAGATGGCCAGATGGACCCCACCTGAGCACTGCCACAGAAAGAACAGCTTTGTATGTATTTGCCTTTTATTTTGTGAGCAAATTGTGTTCACAGCTAAGGTCGTCAGTATCATGGTCAATGGAAGTATGGGAAGCAGCATGGAACAGGTGTCTACTGCACCGCTAGAGGCCAGACCACAACCGAACATAGCGTTCAGAAGAAAAGAGAAAGACAGAAAACGTCACTAGGTGAAAAGCTGATCAGTAGCCCTAGAAATCTAGGAACCAAATCATTAGTGCGAGCGCTTCTTCAAGGAAGCCTCCCCCGCCTGAGGCTTCCTTGAAGAAGCGTGAGCTATCCTGCGTCCATATGTAGTAGCTTCCCTAGTAGCGTGGGCCCTACTCCCTTACTCAATTCAGTAAGGGCGGGCCAGAAGAAACAAAACACATAAACAATGCCACAAGTAAACATGTAATTCTTTTTGTTCAAAGTACTAAGTACCGGAAAGATCCAAAAACTAAAGACTTAGAGAAGTGTCCGTAGCATTCTTGCAAGTGAGGATGTGGAGAGTTTCTCAACGCCAGGTGACAAGCGCAAAGGCGAATGGGAAGAAGGTGCGCTGCCTGTGAAAGTGGCTGAATTTATGCAAAATCGAGAGTTGCTGGAGGGTTCGTCTACATTAGGAAGAATGCAAGGATCAGCATGCAGACATTTGCAGGGCATAGCCTTTTGATTCATGTTGATTCCTTCATATTGAGATTTGAGATGTAGCATGATGCACTGATGCACTGAAATTGAGTGGCATGGACCGGGCTATTGCAGGTCGCAGAACATGTTGGCTGGGTCCGGCTGAGCCATGTAACAAAGAGCCTGATGGCGATGCTCATGTGTGACTCACCGTGGGGACTCACCGTCCGTGTGACAGCGTCAGACACCAAGAAACCAAATCCAACCGAGAAGGAGAAGTCTTGTTGGTGCCCAATCTGTTGATGCTCGAAGCAGCACATGATAGTTTCACCCCACTTGGTTGTTCCAAGGTGAACAATTGAAGGGTCACTAGTCATGCCTACGGCAGCTTCAAAAAGTCCTGGCAGCATCTGGCAGCCACTCAGGCGTGACGTAGGAGGTGATGAAATTGGAACGGCAAAGGACCGAGGAGCGCACACAAGCAATGAGCAACGTATCACGAGCGACTCGCTCGATGAAACTCCCCGGAACCAAAACCATTACATCGCAAGTTGATATAATGCTTTTGCGTGATTTGGCCGCAATGCATGCGGTACGACATGACCAAGTACTCTGGCATGTTGCGATTACCGCCCTTACATCATTCGGCCTACCAGTGCTTGCTTCGATCCAACTTCCGATCAGTGCAAACCAAGAACCAATTCTTAGGATGCTTCATAGCCTCGCCTTGTAGCCTCGCCTTGACGGACAGCAGTTCGCATCGCTGCCCAGCTCCGACAGTGCGATCAGGAGCGTTCAGAGTGTCACGCTTTACAGAAACTCATCAAGCTGTTCCTAAGCCTGGTGGATCTCCACCTCAGCTGGATTTTGTGGCGAACCGTTCTGAACCGTTCTGGACGCTTCAAGTTGGCTCGTGTTTGCCATACGTTGGACAAGAAAGCTCAGATCACTTGCTGATCGGTTCAGTTCATGAAGCGCAACGGCGCTGACTGGCAACGGATTGAGCCCTGCTTTGTGGAGCAGCATGGCCAAATGCAGTAGCCGCTACCATTCGCAAGCCATATCAGTGGTTCACAGCCAAGAGGGCCAAAGGTCAAGCTATGGCCGGCTCCACTGATACAGAGGCTCTAGTAAACTCTAGTACAATAAGTCGAACTGTCTCGAAGTCATGTGAAACGGCCGAGGGTTTGGAGTGCTTTTGTAAGCAAGTGGCTTTCCAAGTTCCAATCATTTGCCCAAATTCTAGTCACTGCTGCTCTCTCCTTGGCTCAG